GACGAGACCTACAGTGGACCTATTGTTCCATCCCCTTCCAAATTCAAAACACTTCTGGTGGTTTATTCATGGGCGAAGTCAAGCATTCGGAGGATCTCTCTCCCTACCAGCCTACCAGGTACTCCAGCATTCAGGCACATTTATGGAGACGACTTTTGAGGCGCCTCAAAAGTCAAGCATTCGGAGGATCTCTCTCTACAAGGTTTTTCAGCATTCAGGCACATTTATGGAGGCACTGTTGCAGGCACCGTTTGATTGGATTCGATAATTAATCACCAGATTCTCAAATTTCAGTGACAGATACCTTCTCTAGCCCTTGGCTCCTTGTCCTCCCCGTCCTTCTCCTCACCGTCCTCCCCGTCCTCCCCGTCCTTCTCCTCACCGTCCTCCCCGTCCTTCTCCTCACCGTCCTCCCCGTCCTCCTCTGCCTCTCTGTGTGCCTCCCTCATCAAGACGTGGAGACGGAGGTCACGTCGCGCACGGGGCTCGGCTTGAAGCACATCGACTACGTGCCGTTTTGTCTGCTCTTTCCCACCACTCCTTGTCATCCCCTTCTTCTCCTCACCGTCCTCACCGTCCTCCCCATCCTCCCCTGCCTCTCTGTGTGCCTTGCCATCAGGACGTGGAGACGGAGGTCACATCGCGCAAGGGGCTGGACTTGAAGCACATCGACTACAATGACTATGGTGAGAACGAGAACAGGGAATGTTGTATGCGTGTGTGTGTGTGTGTGTGTGTGTGTGTGTGTGCGTGCGTGTGTGTGTGTGTGAGAGAGTGAGTGTGTGCGTGTGTGTTGAGTGTGTGTGTGTGCGTGTGAAACGGAGGTCGCAAGGGGCTCGACTTGAAGCACATCGACTACAGTGACTATGGTGAGAGCGAGAACACAAGAGGGAAGAAATGACAAGGGGTGTTTGGGTGTTGAGAAAGTGAGGTGAGGGCCTTCGTGTAGGAATCTGGAATTTGTCAAATGGAACGTTGACGGTTTTTCATGTGAAAGAATGGGTTTAAGGGGCTTCCTGGTTTCGCAAGCTCCATCCGTCTCGCATATCTCTCCTCTCCTCTCCTCTCCTCTCCTCTCCTCTCCTCTCCTCTCCTCTCCTCTCCTCTCCTCACCTCCCGCCCCTTCCCATCCCAAAAGGGCAGTCGCACCCCACCTTTGTGGTGTCAACACGCCACTGGCGAATGGTTTGAAAAGCTTCCTGGTAACTTTTTGAGGCGCCAAAAAATTCCCATCCCTAACGGACAGCGGCACCCCACCTTTGTGGTGCGAACTCGCCTCTGGCGAATGGTTTGAAAAGCTTCGTGGTAACTCAAGCGCCTTCCCAGTCCCCTCCCATCACTTTCCCCTCCTCTTGCCTTTTTTAGCTTTAAAACCCGGAACCCCAAATGGGCACCGCCATCCCATCTTCGTGATGCCGGAGACGCCACGCCACTGGCGGAGTGGTTTGAGGGGTCGCTGGAGATTCAAGCACCTTCCGTCTCACATATCTCTCATCTCCTCGCCTCTCCTCCCGCCCCCGCTCCCACCCCAGACGGGCATCGCCACCCCATCTTCGTGGTGCCGGAGACGCCTCTGCCGGAGTGGTTTGAGGGGTTGCTGGAGATTCATGCACCTTGCGTTTCCTCTCCTCTCCTCTCTTTCCACCCCAGACGGGCACCGCCATCCCATCTTTGTGGTGCCGGAGACGCCTCTGGCGGAGTGGTTTGAGGGGTCGCTGGAGAAGAGCCGTGAGGCCACTGGGGAGAACGAGCTGCTCGTCAATAGTTACCACCACCAGGTGAGATTTCAGGTTACCACCACCAGGTGAGATTTCAAGTTACCACCACCAGGTGAGATCTCACCCGCCACTGGGTGAGGGTACAGGTTATCAGCACCAGATACCACCACGCAGCACTTATCTGTCACACTGCACTTTGACAGCACGCGCTGACTTAACATTCTCTTCCTAATTCCTCGCACCCACACCAGGGCGTGAGGCTCCTCGCCTCCCGGTTCTGCCCCATGGCATTCGCAGCGGACGGGCTGATAGAGGCGTTTTACGACCCGGACGTGCACTGCCCGCCCCGAGGGGGCTTCTTTGTGGGGCTGCAGTTCCACCCAGAGCGCATGAGGCGCTTCCAGGACGGGGAGTCTGTTTCTGAGGAACCTCAAGAATTGTGTTGCTGCTGTTTCACGTCTCAACACTTCTCCGTTCTCCTCCCTTCCCTCTTCACAACAGGGCGTGAGAACTCTCGCTTCTCGATTTCGCCCCATGGCATTCGCAGCGGACGGGCTGATAGAGGCGTTTTACGACCCGGACGTGCACTGCCCGCCCCGAGGGGGCTTCTTTGTGGGGCTACAGTTCCACCCGGAGCGCATGAGGCGCTTCCAGGACGGGGAGGTGGCGCCTGGGGGAGGCCCCAGCTCGCCCAGAGAGGTTTTCGAGTACCCTGAATGCCCCAGGGCGTACCAGGTGCGTGCTGGGCTGAATGCTCGGCTGCTGGTGCTGTCTTTCCCTTTGGGCCTCAGGGTGGGCCTCAGGGTTCACTACGCGAATGCCTCTGGTTTTCTTTCTTCAGAGGGCCAGATCGGGCCAGGAGGGGTTTGAGTGGACTGAGTCGAGTGTCCCACTAGGCACCATAGCAGGCCAGTGGGACGTTAGTTGTAACACGCTTGGATGCTTGTAACCCCGCTGATTTCTAACTGTATGTCTACTGTGCTCCACCGCGCCCTCACCCACTCAGTCACTTCCTCCCTCACACACTCCTGCACGCCCTCATACCCTCACTCAGGAGTTCGTGGCAGCAGTGGTGGCATATGAGCACAAGGTGCGGCCGAGAATCCCCCGCCCAGCCGCCCTCACAGCCCCTCCCACCAGCATCGCTGCCGCTGCTGCAGCCGCCATTGCCGCAGTTGACGCTGCTGCCGACGCAACCAACAGCCTAGCCACTGGCATGGCTGCTCTATCCCAATCAGGAGCAGGAGAGGCGGGAGCAACAGGAGGAAGCAGCATGGCACCAGGGGCAGGGGCAGTGGCAGGGGCAGGGGTGGGTTCAGCCAGCGGGAAAACTCCTGGGGCGGCAGCAGCAGCAGCGGCGGCGGCAGCGGCGGCGGCAGAAGCGCAGGCAGAGGAGCGGCAGAAGAAGCAGCAGCAGGGGCGGGAGTGGGAGGAGGAGCTTGAGAGGCGGCGGCTGCGCATTCAAAAGAGCTTCCATGCGGCCAAGGTGGTGTACGAGGAGAGGGTGGTGCTGCGACGTAACGCCACGGAGAAGGGCGGAACGTCGGCACTCGCGGCGATTCGGAGAGAGCAGGCGGGGGGATCAGCAGGAGGGTTGGGAGGGCTGCCGACGCTGCCAGAGGAGAAGCAGGAGCTGGCGATCGGGGCCTCGTTCCTCAAGGTGAGCCTTGTTCTTCAAGGTGACAGGCTCGTACTACGGTGTGCAACCCGAGGCTGGGCCGCTTCTGTTAAAAAAACGAAAAAGAAAACGTTTCGACTGAAATATCTATGTATTTTTTTGTACGATATTTCTTCCTCCCTCACCCCTTATCCTTCCTCCCTTCTCTCTCCTCCCTCCACCCTCGTCCCCTTCAGGAGCTGACGCCTCTGTCAGGGCAGCAGGTGAAGCGGCTGTCTCAGGTGGGCGCTACAGTGCGCAACGCATCCCACATCAAAGACGAACTTGAACGGAGACGAAACCAGCGGTCCGCAGCGCGGGCGGCACTGGAGGCGCTGCATACGAGCGAGCTGGAGGAGATGGTTGCGTTCCACCGGCGCATGGCTGCCTCTGCTGAAGAGGTGCTGGAGGCGAGGCGGAAGGCACGGGGAGAGGCTTAGTGGGGTCATGAGAGGTGTAGCAAATGTGAGTGTGGGGCTTTGCAGCAGTATGGGGCAGTGTAGAAGCATGGGGCACTGGAGGCGCTGCATACGAGTGAACTGGAGGAGATGGTTGCGTTCCACCGATGCATGGCTGCTTCTGCTGAAGAGGTGCTGGAGGCGAGGCGGAAGGCACGGGGAGAGGCGTAAGAGACGCGCGGGGCAGGGAGCGGGATGTAACACAGAAGCACGGGGCACTGGAGACACTGCATACGAGTGAGCTTGAGGACATGGCTGCCTTTCACAGGCGGATGCCTGCTTCTGCTGAAGAGGTGCTGGAGCCTGGAGGCCAGGAGGAAGGCACGGGGAGAGGCGTAAATGCAGGCATGGCAGGGAATGCGGGAGAGGAATGCAGAAGGGTGAAACGCATGGATGCTAGTTAAGGCCTCGTCCTGACAATCAGGCTGTGGTACAGGAGGCTGGAGAGGAGGGGTTAGGAGGGTAGGAGGATAGGAGGGTAGGGAAGGAGGAAATTTCAGTGGCACAGGAGGTGAATTTCAGTTGCATAAGGTTTTCATCGGATTTTCAGGTGGAAAGGTACAATCTTCCTGTGAGCGTACTGTATCAGGCCCGATTTATGCTCTTGTTTGTAACGCCGGCAGTAAGAATGCAATGCAACTGAACAAAAGACGTTGGCCAGACAGGCAGGTACCTTCATTGTACTTAGCATCCCTGCAAGGACTTCTACAGGTGTGACAGGCATGAGCAAAGGTGACTCAAAAGTCAGGCAGGTACCTTCATTGTACCTAGCATCCCTGCAAGGAATTCTTCAGATGTGACAGGCATGAGCAACGAACTGCCTTGATCGGGGTTGATCGAACCTTGTACAGCTTGAGTCAATCAATTTGAGTCGATTACCGTAGTTTGGTTCGGGTCGACAACTACGGTACGAAATGACAGCTTTCCGTATCGACAGTAGCGACAAGACAAGCGGACAAGCCTCCACAGCATGAGAGGTCCTATCAGTACGGTAGTAGCGGTATTGGCGATTGAAGTTAATGTGGATGTGCAGAAGCCCGTATTCAAGCATGCCGTAACACTACCGTATTACCGCAGTAACGCTGTTAACACCATAACAGCACGATCGTTACACAGCGTCCAGAGCATGACAGCGACGATCGGCAGGAGCGACAGGTCCAACAGAGCCTATCGGCGGTAACGATGGCGCTTGAAGTTGATGTAGACGTGCAGAATGCCGCGTTCGAACGTGCACTTAAAGCCCTTCTTGTGCGAGTATTCCCACTCCTTGTTCACTATGCGGAATGCCTGACAGGAAAAGGGGGAGGGGAGAGTGGGGGTGGAAGTATGGAAATATGAATGCCTGCTAGACAGGGTGAAGAGTGAGACACATGTAAAAAGGATCTGCTGGACAGACATGAATACTATGACTGGGATGAAGGGAATGATGACCATGGCATGATTAAAATGAATGGAGTATAACAATAATAATAATAGTAGTAGTAACAATAATAATAATAATAATAGTAGTAACAATAATAATAATAATGATAATAATTCAAAACAGAGAGAGCCACTCACAATGTCCTCATAGGGCGGCCCGGCGTGGAAGCGAATGAGACAAGTCTCGCCGTCCTCGCTGCCGTCCTTCTCGATGTGGTAACTGGGCGGCTTGGAGCGGTCAATCAAATCCGGATAGAAGATATTGAACTTGTAGCCCTGCACGATCTTGGGCGGCGGGTTGTCGTGGTCGTAGTGCGTCTGGTTGTACTTGTTCCACTCGTACCCCGTGTGCACCCGATTGAAATACTTGGGCTTGCGCGGCCGGTACTTGTCGTGCCACCAGTACACCTGATGCATGGAGAAACAGAGAGGTGTGGTGAGGGTCGGTGGAGGGAAGACGGGGGTTGTTGAGCGTGTGGGTTTGCGTGGCCGATACTTGTTGTGCCACCAATGCACCTGATGCTCGCACACGTGCATGGGGTAGGGTAGTAGAGTTTCTTCTGGTTGAAGTTTGAGTTGACTCAAACGTCACACCAGCACACCTGATGCAAGCACACATGCATGGGGTAGGGTAGACCGTAGAAGAGTTTCCTCCGGTTGGGAAATGCCAGCCTGGACTGGTGACGTGGCCTTTTGTTCAACCGGAATTCAACCTAAAGGTTCATATGAATAACAACCCAGCCTGGTTAAAGTTTCCACCTGAACTGACTTCTCACCTGGATTTTCACCTGACTTCTTCCCACCTGAGCTCCACCTGACTTTTCACCTGCATCTGCACCTGACTTCTCACCTGAGTTTCAAGAGGCACCTCGGCCCCTGCACCAAACGCCACGTCACCAGGATCCTGCCCCATCATCTTATTGGCTGCGGCCTTATCCGCCGCGCTGAGCTGGCGATCCCCTGCTGCTGCCACGTCAGCAGGCGCCCTCACCACCAGAGCCCTCTCTGCTGCGCTGACGTCACCACCACCAGCGCCAGAAGCTTCCAGGACGCTGCGCTGCCGGTCTGCCTGAATTTGTGCCCTCTTCCGCTCCTGATGAGGGGAGAGCAGGAGGACGAGAAGGGAGGGAATGCTGATGTGGGGAGAGCAGGAGGACGAGAAGGGAGGGAATGCTGATGTGGGGAGAGCAGGAGGACGAGAAGGGAGGGAATGCTGATGAGGGGAGAGCAGGAGGACGAGAAGGGAGGGAATGCTGATGAGGGGAGAGCAGGAGGACGAGAAGGGAGGGAATGCTGATGAGGGGAGAGCAGGAGGACGAGAAGGGAGGGAATGCTGATGAGGGGAGAGCAGGAGGACGAGAAGGGAGGGAATGCTGATGAGGGGAGAGCAGGAGGACGAGAAGGGAGGGAATGCTGATGAGGGGAGAGCAGGAGGACGAGAAGGGAGGGAATGCTGATGAGGGGAGAGCAGGAGGACGAGAAGGGAGGGAATGCTGATGTGGGGAGAGCAGGAGGACGAGAAGGGAGGGAATGCTTTTGAGTCGACTCAAAAGCTGATGAGGGGAGAGCAGGAGGACGAGAAGGGAGGGAATGCTTTTGAGTCGACTCAAAAGCTGATGAGGGGAGAGCAGGAGGAAGAGAAGGGAGGGAATCGTGGAGGGAGGACGAGGAGGAGGGAGGACGAGAAGGGAGGGAATCGTGGAGGGAGGACGAGGAGGAGGGAGGACGAGAAGGGAGGGAATCGTGGAGTAGACGTGGGTAAAAGTTTTACATGCATAGTAGTTTTATAAGCGTAAACGTTCAGTGGTTTAGGGTTTAAATCCCCTGGCACGGCAGTCACCAGTTCTGCCTTATCCGCCTCAGGGTCAACAACGTCTGTCCCATCCCATCCACCTCATACGTGTGATGTGAATCAATCAACCCACCACCTGCCACCTCCCAACTTCACAGTGTTCTCTCCCCCACCTCACCTGTCCCCTGTCCCAGTGCTCACCAGTTCCCTCTTGTCTGCCTCTGGGTCAACGTCGTCTGTCCCATCCACCTCATACATGTGAATCAGCTCAGGAGAAAGCCCTCCCTTCCTTGACACACATCCCAGGTTTAACCCTTTTTCTGTATCTCTCTTGTTCGCTTCAGGGTCAACAACGTCTGTTCCATCCACTCCACCTCATACGTGTAAATGAGCTCCATCCTCGTCCTCATTCACACACCACTCACCAGTTCTGCCTTATCCGCCTCAGGGTCAACAACGTCTGTCCCATCCACCTCATACGTGTGAATCAGCTCTGGTGAAAACCCTCCCTCTGCGCCCGCTCCTCCCCCTCCTGCTGCTCCCTCTCCTCCCTCCTTATACCCCTCCTTAGCTGCTTCTTCCATAGTCAGCAACTCAGGCGAGAACGACCCAGGCTCTCCCTCCTCTCCTCCTCCCCCTCCACCAGCAGCAGCAGCAGCACCACCACCACCACCACCAATCTCCTCCTCTTCCTCCTCCCATCCCTGCCCGTCCCCTCCTCTCCCTCCCCCTCTCCCCTCCCCCCCCCCTCCCTCCTCTCCCTCTCCCTCCCCTCTCGCCACCCCTCCCGTTTCCAACAAAGCCAAATGCTGCCGCAGCAGATCCGCATGAATCTCCCTCAGTCTCGCCTTCGCCTTGAAAACCTTCAGCTTTTTCAGCACGGCTTCCCAGTACTCGACAACTTTCGCGCTGCCCGATTCCATCTGCCCGGCGATCCGCTCCTCCATACGCGAAAGTTCCTCGCTGCCCGCCACGGCAAGAGTTTCGGCCACGTCTGCCCCCACTGCTGAGTGCAGCCCCCTCTCTTCCTCTAGGACGTCTTCTGGGGGTTCCTCTCCTCTCACTCTCGCCCGGTCAATGATGTCTCTTCTGGTCGTCTCCGCTATCTCGTGATTGCACACCACCATCATTGCCTGAAGGGATGGGTCGGGGCGAAGGGGAGGGGGGGGAGGGGGGGGAGGGGGGGGGAGGGGATGGGAGGAGGGAGTGGAGGTACAAGAGAATGAGGATGTGGGAGTTTCGGCCACGTCTGCCCCGACTGACTGCTGAGTGCAGCCCCCTCTCTTCCTCTAAGACGTCTTCTGGGGGTTCCTCTCCTCTCACTCTCGCCCGGTCGATGATGTCTCTTCTGGTCGTCTCTGCAATCCCATGGTTGCACACCACCATCATTGCCTGGAACGAAGGGGGAGGTGGGGGATGGTCAACGGGGTGAAGCGTCGGGAGAAGGATTAGGAACGGTGCGGTTTCTTCCCCCTAACTCTCGCCCTGTCAATGATGTCTCCTCTGGTCGTCTCTGCTATCTCATGATTGCACACCATCATTGCCTGTAGGCGGGGAAGAGGATGATCAAGGGGATGGACGCTGGAAAAACTCGGAAAGGTGGATGATGTCTCCTCTGGTCGTCTCTGCTATCTCATGATTGCACACCATCATCATCGCCTGGAAAGGGGCAGGCGGGAGGGGGGCAGGAGGGTGGGAGGGCGGAGGGCAGGAGAGGAAGGGATGGGAAGAGAAATGAGGATGATGGATGAAAAGGTCCCGTTAATGAGATGGGAGAGACAAGCCAATTGATGCTGTCTCGTGCCATCTGCATTAATGCAAGCCCAGGACCCGCAAGCAGCACGAAACCAGCCAGACCCACCTTCATCCTATGACGCACTTACGGTGATTCTGCACCTTCATCATCCCTCTGCACCGTTCAGAACCCCTCTACACCTTCTCGAACGATAACCACCCGCTCCCTGAACCATCCAGAACCCCTCTGTACCTTCCAGAACTCCTGGTGCATGGGGTTGTTGCGGTCAAACTCAAGGTGCATCTTGATGTCCTCCTTCAGCTCCTCCATCTCCTTCACTGTCAGGCCCTGCAAGTGAGTACAGGCAAACATGCACAATGGACACATGAAGGACAAGAAGCAATCTGACGACAACAGACAACCAACCAACCACACAGGAGACAAGCTCGCCACCTGCAAAAGTCACAACATGACGACGCATGCACAGAGACAGAATCTGCTTTTGAGTCGACTCAAAAACAACATGACGACGCATGCACAGAGACAGAATCTGCTTTTGAGTCGACTCAAAAACAACATGACGACGCATGAACAGAGACAGAACCCACATTGAAGATCTTGTATGGCTCGTTGACCTCGATGTCAAAGTCCCCTGAGAGGGTCAGGCTATCAATAGACTAGAAAGAACGACCACCCCCTCCCCTCCCAACGCCTTAATCTTTTGCATTCCCCAAACCCAGACGACTTACCTCGAAGATCTTGTACGGCTCGTTGACTTCGATGTCAAAGTCCCCTGAGAGCTTAAGGTGACGTTCCTCGCCACGCCAGCACGTCAATGGGCTTTTAAGTTGACAAACAGTTCCCTTGACATTGCGCATTCCCTAGACTTTAACCCCACCTTGAAGATCTTGTACGGCTCGTTGACTTCGATGTCAAAGTCGCCAGACAGCGTGAGGTTCCTCGCCAGCACGTCAACTCAGAAATATCCTTGGCCTTTGGTATCCATCCACCCCACACACAGACACCCCAACCAACCCACCTTGAAGATCTTGTACGGCTCATTGACCTCAATATCAAAGTCCCCAGACAGCGTGAGGTTCCTCGCCAGCACGTCGATGGGCTTTGCCCGCCCCTCCCTCAGACGAATCTCAGAGCGCACTCGGCTTTGCTCAAAGTGGAACTGAGAGGGGTGAGAGGCGGTGAGAGGGGGTGAGAAGCGGTGAGAGTGGGTGATAAGGGGTGCGACAGGGTGAAAACGGGTGATAGGGCTTTCAAGACAGTCCCCATAGTCCTCGCCAGCACATCGATGGGCTTTGCTCGCCCCTCCCTCAGGCGGATCTCCGAGCGCACTCGGCTTTGCTCTAAGCGGAACAGAGAGGGGTGAGAGGGGGTGAAAACAGGTGAAAAAGGGTAAGAGAGGTTGACGAGCGGTGAGAAGGGGTGGGAGGCGATGGGAGAGGGTGAGAGAGGGTGAGAACTGGAGCAGTTATAAAGGAGTGGCAGGTAACAAGGCGGAAGGAAACAGGGAGAGGGGAGAGACGTGATACTAGCCTGATGAGAGAAATGGGGCAGGGAAGTAGGGGAGGGGTTGTGTGAGGTGATTTTTGAGGCGTATGTTTTTTTAGAATTCTCAAAAAACATACGCTGATTTTTGAAGCGCCTCAAAAGAAGGAAGGAGAAAGGGGGGAGACGTGATCCTAGCCTGACTTGGAACTGAGCGAAAAGGGGGCAGGGGGGGAAAGGAAAGGTTGTATGGGGTGGGTTCCTTGCTAGCACGTTGAGAGGCATGACTATTGAGCGACTGAGTGTACTGTACCAGGAGAGTAACTCATAGTGCATGAAGGACTGAGAATGTGTGTGCGCGCGCGCATGCATGTGCTGTGTGTGTTTAAGTGCGTGTGTGAGTGTGTGAGCGAGTGAGTGTGAGGGTGTGAGTGAGTGAGTGAGACGCAGTACCTCGTCTTCCTTCTCTTCCCAGTCCTGGAACTCGGCTCGAGCCCTCTCACGCGCCAGCATGGCCTGTAGCAGCAACGCACACGCACACATGCACATGCACATGCACGGGCATACATGCACGGGCATACATGCACGGGCATACATGCACGGGCATACATGCACGGGCATACATGCACGGGCATACATGCACGGGCATACATGCACGGGCATACATGCACGGGCATACAGGCACGGGCATACAGGCACGGGCATACAGGCACGGGCATACAGGCACGGGCATACAGGCACGGGCATACATGCACGGGCATACATGCACAGACACACAGGCAAAGACAATCCGGCAGAGACAGACAGTCACAGCCACACACGCACGAGATGAAAAAAAGAAAAAGAAAAAAGGAGTGTGGTTCAGTCGTGGAAGAGAAGTTTTGATACCTCTCAAAAATGAAAGGGAAAAACAGATAAAAAGGCCTGGCTCATTAATAAGAAAGCATGCACACACAATGAGCCAGCATCTCTCCCCACCACTCACCATCTCCTCGTCGTGCTGTGCCTTCTCCAGCATCCTCTCCTCACGCCGCTTCTTCACCTTCTCAATCTCCTCCTGCTCTCACACACACGGGCAGACATGACAATGTAGGCAGGGGGCAGGCAGTGCGGGTGGGCAAGAAATCAGATGAGGAGTGAGCACAGGTGAGATCTTAAAGATGGGGAACGGCAAGCCTGGAATCAAGACAACAGCCTTTAATCGATAAATTTTATCAGTCCAGCGGAAGCAGCAGGAGCAGCAGACCCACCATGCGGGCCTCGAGGCGCTTCCTCTCATTCTGCAGCGTGATCTCCCGCGGGTCCAGCGTGCCTCGCAGCACGTCCTTCTCGATCTTCTTGCGCCACACGAACCTGCGGGCATGGAGGCAGGGGGGGTGTGGGAGAGCGACGGAGGGGAAGCGGCGGGTGGGACGGAGGGACGGATGGAGGGAGGGCAACACAATAGGGCAAGCGTACGCGCATCAGCAGGCTCTTTTTCTGCCAGTTTCGTTCCCTCTCCACATCCTGACGTAAAAATCTCCTTCACTGCTTTCTCGCACTGCACCAAGCAGCAGCTTCCACGTCTCTTCGTCACCTTACAACTCATCTCATACTCTCATACCTTACGACGCGCCACTCACGTCTCAGTGAGGTTGGTGTCGCCAAACGGGTTACTGTCGTTGGTGTAACCCGACACCGCGTTCAGCTTGAGCTTCTTCGCCAGCTTCTGCGCCTTCTTCTGCGCGCGCTTCGCCAAAAACTCCCTCAGTTCCTCCTCCGAAACCTTCTTCCCGCCCCTCCCGCCACGCGACGGACTCCCCTCGCTACTATCACTCCCGCTACTACCACCAGAACTCTCCGATCCCTCCGAATCCGACCGCTCCCGGCGTCGCCGGCGCGAATCCCGCTTGCTCTTCTCTCTCCGTTCTTTTTTGTCCTTTTTGCCCTTTTTGCTCCGTCCCCTGCTTCTGCTCCTGCTGCGGCTTCGGCTCCGACTGCTATCGTCACTCTCGCTAGAGTCACCTCCCCGCTGCTTCTTTTTCCGGCTACCGCGGCTTCGGCGTTTGCGATTGCGGCCGCGATCACCGTCAGAGTCTGACGCTGAGGCATCCTCGTTAGAATCGTCATCGTCACTGTCTTTACGGGATTTCCGGCTCTTCCTGCTCCGTCTCCTGCGCTCATCTGAATCCTCGCTGTCTGAATCGTCTCGCTTTCGTCGCTTCTTTTCGTCGCGACGCGCCATGGCTAACCGTGCGTGTCAAGTCAGTTGAAGCTAAGGAGCCAAGGAGCTAAGACAAGCCAGATTGGAACTATGCGGAGCCCTGGAAACGTCTGAAAGAAGCCACCAAACGGCTTTGACTGCAACATTTAGGACGAAACTAGAGTGCCATTGTTTATCGTCTAAATTGTTTTATGTTAGCAACGTCTCCACCAAATGAGTGCCAGTGGTCTAGTGGTAGAATAGCACCCTGCCATGCTAGCACGGTGCAGACCCGGGTTCGATTCCCGGCTGGCACATCGGCGTTTAAGCCTACCTTGATTTTGCCATTCCAGCCTTGGAGTTGTCGCGTCAACCACCTAGATTTTATTGTATGAAACCTTGCGGGGGTGCGGATTGTGTGAACCAAGATTGCACCCCTTTTCGCACTTGCGGTCGCAGAAGTATTCGTCTTCGCCATTTATAGCCATGTAACCGTCGCACAAAATCGGTTACCATTACTGTATCCTTCGTGCAGTTGATCAGGGATGAGTCTTGGCTGGAGCGGAGTCAGAAAACCGCTTAGAGTGTAGACGAACCGTTCTGCCACGCAAAGCATCTCATCAAGCCGCATTGAACGTGAATCTCTTTGACGCCCCAAAATATGCATCATTCAGAACACACAAATCATCCACCTTCAAACAAGCACAGCACAAGTGCTGCCGCCATGGCCGCTGTAGTTCGCCTGCACGAGCAGGTGATCGCGTCGCTCCGATCCGCCATTTCAAGGCAACCGCGTTCCGTCTCTGATTCGTCGATAGAGTCGTCCGCACCCGTGATTCTCGGCTGGTTAGTTGGCTCCTCCGCATCTTACTTCCCATGTCGCGACCCACGCCCTTCCTGCTCCGTCCTCTCTTGCATCCTCGTAGACCCGCGATTCAGGGACGTCGCAGTCCAGCAGCGTGGCGACAAAGGCGGCGTCGCCAAGTCCGAGGCGCGAGCTCTTTTGCCGCTGCTTCCTGGAGGACTCACAGTTGTCGGGGTTGCGGTGAGAGGGGAGTTTACCCTGGAAAATCAGGCGCTTATAAAGGAGCAGATCACCGAATTTCGGCGAATCTTTCACGACGTGGCATTGGCGCGCCGGCCGTTCATTGTGACGTGGAAATCTGACGCGTCGGGTGAAATCCCTCCGAGGATATCTCTAATGGCGGGAGTTGAGTTGAGAAAAAGTGACGTGGCACCTGCTGATTGGTGGGGACAGGATATCACAGACGATGAGGAACAGGAGCGGATAGGGATGGAGAGTGAGGGAGAAGAGGAGGGAAGGAGAGACGACAAGCTACAAGAAGAGAGTGAAGCTGATGTGGCATGGGAGCTTAAAGCGGAAGAGGAGAGTGAGAATGCTGAGGTGGAGGTAGAGGTGGTGACGGGTCAAGGGGGTAATGGAAATGGTGGTGCTAGTGCAGCTTGTGGTGCTAGTGGTGCGAGTGGTGCTACTGGGGAGGAGAATAATCAGCTGGAGGAGGAGTTTTGGGCGGCGCACTGTCCGCTGGTGTGTGACGTGGCAGCCACCCTGCCACTGTTCACCCACGACAAGCAAAGTGAGTGAGCTTCGCCCCGCTGCTCTTCATTCCATCACTCGGCAGATACATTCTTTCACCATTCCTTCCTCTCTCGGTTGTCCCACACATTTTCTCGATCTCATTCTTTCAACCGACTGTTTCTACTCTCCTCCAATCCCGCCTCTCCTCCGTCCCTCATCCCCCTTCCCTATGCCATGCCCTCTGTGCTGCTTCATCACCCACTCCACCTAGCCGCACACTCCAACTCATTCCAATTCCCCCAATTCTTCCCCCTTCTTTCTCCCCTTCCGCCTCTCCCCCCTCGCCTCTACTTCTTCCGGTTTCGCCTTTTTCCCCTGCCCACCCTCCCTTCCTCCCACCCTCCCCTCCTTCCCCCCCATCCTCTTTCTCTCTCCCCATCCCCTCCATATGCACTCGCCAGCCCTATTCTCGTCAGTATCTGCATCTATTTCAGGTGACTTTTGAGTCGACTCGAACCTCTCCCCAACCCCCCTCCTCCTCCCTCCCTTTCCTCTCTCTCCCCCCTATCCCCTCCATATACCCTATTCGCCAGCCTTATCATCGTCAATATCCGCATCTCTCTCTGCCATCCAAGCCGACGTCATCAGCCCTCACGCCCTCTGGTTGCTGCACCCATCACAACCGCCTTCCACTGCCACGTCAGCAGCTGCCAGCTCAGCATCAGCTGCTAGCACTGCTGCAGGAGCCCTGCGTCCGATCCTGATTGGCTCTCTGCCGAACGGAAGAGCCTCAGCAGCCAATGGCAGCATGACACGTGGCAAAGATGGTGGGGGGACCTCAGAGGGGATGGTGTGTGGTGATCTGCTGACGTCAGCAGAAGGGGGAGGTGGAAAGGGGGGAGGAGGAGGAGACGGGGGAGGAAAAGGGGGAGGTGCGAGAGGGAAAGGGGGAAAAGGGGTCGCTGGTGGTGGGGGAGGAGGGGGAGGAAGAGGAGAGACGCTAGCTTCGAAAAGAGTATGTTGCTGCTGGTGTTGTGCTGGTGTTGATGGTGTTGCTGGTTCTGATGTTGTTGCTGGCGTTGCTGCTGCAGTTGGTGCTGATGTTGGCTCTGTTGACTTTTGAGTTGACTCAAAAGTTGACCCACGCAAGGCATATGTTTCTGATGCTGATTCGTATTGAGCTTACACCCTTCTCTCTTGTCCTGCCACCATGCCACCCTCCCTTCCTCCTCTTCCCCCTCACGTGCTCCTAACTCGCTGATTCCTCAAAGCTGGCATCAACCACACGTGTCTCTCTGCTGCTCAACCTATCGCCACCTGCCACGTCAGCATCTGCGGGGCAGAACAGTGCACCTCTTGGCCTCAGCTACACCCCGGGTGAGGACCGCTCTCTTTTTGCTCTTCTCCCAGCCTCCCCCAGTTGCCACCTGCACCAGATAAGCCTTTCTCTCAGCTTTTGTGACGTCTCAAATGTCTCTCCTCGTCCCCCACCCTGTTCTCCTCCCTTCCTCCTGCTCTCCTCCTCGGATCCTCCCCTCTGTCCTCCTCACTCCCCTTGTTTTCCCCTCCCCAGCCGCCCCTAGCATCCACCTGCACCAGATAAACCTGTCCCTGAGCAGCCTCGTCTTTGCCTTGTGTGGTGCCTAAAGCATTCTCTCACTCGCTCTTCCCCCCATTCTCACTCCCAGCCGCCCCCAGCATCCACCTGCACCAGATAAGACTTCTTCACCTGACTTGTCTTAGATATTTGAGATGTCTCAAAAGTCTCTCTCCCCACTCCCCGTCCTCCCCAGCCGCCCCCAGCATCCACCTGCACCAGATAAGCCTGTCCCTGAGCACCCTCGTCTTCGCCCCTCAGCAGCTGTCTCTCCGGGCGGCGGTGCGTCGTCTTGTAGTGCCGGGGCTGTTGCGGCAAGTCAAGGCAATCGAGTGGATGGTGGGGGGCGGGGGAGACGGGAGACAGGGGGGTCAAGCGGGCAGGAGAGACGAGAAGGAGGAGGGGAAGCGGGGGAAGGGGGCAGGAGCAACAAGTGCGGATGGGAGAGGAGCAGCAGGGGATGCAGCGCAAGATGCGGCTTCAGCCATTTCTTTCCAACTAGGACTCAAGGTAGGCCCATTCCTGCAACTTCCCCTCATCCCTCCTGCCGTGCCGCTCCTCCACCGAGCACGCGCACCCATTTCTCCCCCCCCCACCCCGCTATTCCCTTTCCTGCTTTCTCGATTGCTCAGCCATTTCCCCCTTCCCCTCTCCCTGCTCCTCCTCACCTCATCCAAACCCCCCCTCTGCCCCTGACTTACCTTTCCCCACTCTCCTGCGTCCGTGCCCTTCTCCTCCCTCGCTCCCTCTCATCATGCGTTTGCCCCCCCTGCCCCACCCACATCCTTCAGTTCGGAGCATACCACTTCCTGCTGCCGCCCTGCCCACACCCTCTCACTGTCACCTACCCTCTCACGTACGGGGAGGGGCAGCAGAGCCTGGGTGAGTGGAGGACAGCAGAGCGTGGGTGAGAGAGGGGTGGGTGAGTGGAGGGCAGCAGAGCGTGGGTGAGAGAGTGGTGGGTGAGTGGAGGGCAGCAGAGCGTGGGTGAGAGAGGGGTGGGTGAGTGGAGGGCAGCAGAGCGTGGGTGAGAGAGGGGTGGGTGAGTGGAGGGTAGCAGAGCGTGGGTGAGAGAGGGGTGGGTGAGTGGAGGGCAGCAGAGCGTGGGTGAGAGAGGGGTGGGTGAGTGGAGGGTAGCAGAGCGTGGGTGAGAGAGGGGTGGGTGAGTGGAGGGTAGCAGAGCGTGGGTGAGAGAGGGGTGGGTGAGTGGAGGGCAGCAGAGCGTGGGTGAGAGAGGGGTGGGTGAGTGGAGGGCAGCAGAGCGTGGGTGAGAGAGGGGTGGGTGAGTGGAGGGCAGCAGAGCGTGGGTGAGCAGGGAGCAGGGAGCACTGCCGCGTCTTCTGATTTCTTCAAGATAGATCCAAACCATGATGAAGTAATGAAAGAAAGAAAGAAAGAATAAAAAGCATCGTTCAGCTTGGGTGAATGCGAAGCACCGCAACGCCTCATCCCATCCGCATTGTCCATCCCTGCCTTAAACTATATCCCTCCCACCCTCCCGTTCTCCCACTCTCCCTCCGATCAGTGGACATGCGCTTGGTCCTGCACACCGCCTGGGCTGGGCCTGCCCCCCATGCTGCGCATTGCCTCATCCCTATAGTCCGTCCCTTCAATACTTCCAGCCCAACCCCCCAACCTTCCAAAACCTCAAACCAAACCAAACCAACACCTCAGTGGACATGCGCTTGACCCTGCACCACCGCCTGGGCCTGCCCCTCGACCGCCCCATGCTGCGCATTCCCTAGTCCTCTTGTCCGCTCCTTACTTTCATCCCCCTCCCCACCCCTTCAACCCCAATTGCACACCTCACTCAGTGGACATGCGTATGACCCTGCACCACCGCCTGGGCCTGCCCCTCGACCGCCCCAGGCTGTGCTTTGCCTCGTCCCTCTCTCTCCCCCACACAAATACACTTCCCACACCCCATACTCCGCACCACCTTCCCCAACCGCAGTGGACATGCGCATGACACTGCACCACCGCCTGGGCCTGCCCCTCGACCGCCCCATGCTGCGCATTGCCTCTTCTCTCGCCCTCGCTACCCACACTGCCGCACCGGACGCCACCCAAGCATCCTCAAAAGGTGGGTACCCGTCCGTTTCTTGTTTTGCCATGCTGTGCCTGGTCATGCCATCTCGTCTCTCTCCCTCGCTAACCCACACTGCGGCACCGGACGCCACCCATGCATCCTCAAAAGGTGGGTGTCGAGCCTTTGCTTGCCTTACCTTGTCATGTCACTTCTGAAATGCCACTGAAACCCTTTTTGAGGCACCTCGAAAATCCTCAAGAAGCGCCCCAAAAATCCTTCAAATTTCTCAAAGGGTGGGTGCCATGCTATTTCTTACCTTGCCTTGTCATGTCACTTCTGAAAAGCCTCTGAAGCCGTGCCGTGCCGTGCCGTGCCGTGCCGTGCCGTGCCGTGCCGTGCCGTGCCGTGCCGTGCCGTGCCGTGCCGTGCCGTGCCGTGCCGTGCCGTGCCGTGCCGTGCCGTGCCGTGCCGTGCCGTGCCGTGCCGTGCCGTGCCGTGCCGTGCCGTGCCGTGCCGTGCCTTGCCTTGCCGTGCCTTGCCTTGCCGTGCCTTGCCTTGCCTTGCTTTGCCGTGCCGTGCCGTGCCGTGCCGTGCCGTGCCGTGCCGTGCCGTGCCGTGCCGTGCTGTGCCGTGCCGTGCCGTGCCGTGCCTTGCCTTGCCTTGCCTTGCCTTGCCTTGCCTTGCCGTGCCTTGCCTTGCCTTGCCTTGCCTTGCCGTGCCTTGCCTTGCCGTGCCGTGCCTTGCCTTGCCGTGCCTTGCCTTGCCGTGCCTTGCCTTGCCTTGCCTTGCCTTGCCGTGCCGTGCCTTGCCTTGCCGTGCCTTGCCTTGCCTTGCCTTGCCGTGCCTTGCCGTGCCTTGCCTTGCCTTGCCTTGCCGTGCCTTGCCTTGCCTTGCCTTGCCGTGCCTTGCCTTGCCGTGCCGTGCCTTGCCTTGCCGTGCCTTGCCTTGCCGTGCCGTGCCTTGCCTTGCCGTGCCTTGCCTTGCCGTGCCTTGCCTTGCCGTGCCTTGCCTTGCCTTGCCTTGCCGTGCCTTGCCTTGCCTTGCCGTGCCTTGCCTTGCCGTGCCTTGCCTTGCTGCCTTGCCTTGCCTTGCCTTGCCTTGCCGTGCCTTGCCGTGCCTTGCCTTGCCTTGCCTTGCCGTGCCTTGCCTTGCCTTGCCTTGCCTTGCCTTGCCGTGCCTTGCCGTGCCGTGCCTTGCCTTGCCGTGCCTTGCCTTGCCGTGCCTTGCCTTGCCGTGCCTTGCCTTGCCGTGCCTTGCCTTGCCTTGCCTTGCCTTGCCTTGCCTTGCCTTGCCGTGCCTTGCCTTGCCGTGCCGTGCCGTGCCGTGCCGTGCCGTGCCGTGCCTTGCCTTGCCTTGCCTTGCCTTGCCTTGCCTTGCTGTGCCTTGCCTTGCCTTGCCTTGCCTTGCCGTGCCTTGCCTTGCCTTGCCTTGCCGTGCCTTGCCGTGCCTTGCCGTGCCTTGCCTTGCCGTGCCTTGCCTTGCCTTGCCTTGCCGTGCCTTGCCGTGCCTTGCCTTGCCTTGCCTTGCCGTGCCTTGCCTTGCCTTGCCTTGCCTTGCCGTGCCTTGCCTTGCCGTGCCGTGCCTTGCCTTGCCGTGCCTTGCCTTGCCGTGCCTTGCCGTGCCTTGCCGTGCCTTGCCTTGCCTTGCCTTGCCTTGCCGTGCCTTGCCTTGCCTTGCCTTGCCTTGCCTTGCCGTGCCTTGCCGTGCCGTGCCTTGCCTTGCCGTGCCTTGCCTTGCCGTGCCTTGCCTTGCCGTGCCTTGCCTTGCCGTGCCTTGCCTTGCCTTGCCTTGCCTTGCCTTGCCTTGCCGTGCCTTGCCTTGCCGTGCCGTGCCGTGCCGTGCCGTGCCGTGCCTTGCCTTGCCTTGCCTTGCCTTGCCTTGCCTTGCCTTGCCGTGCCTTGCCTTGCCTTGCCTTGCCTTGCCTTGCCGTGCCTTGCCTTGCCGTGCCGTGCCTTGCCTTGCCTTGCCTTGCCTTGCCGTGCCTTGCCTTGCCTTGCCTTGCCGTGCCTTGCCTTGCCGTGCCTTGCCTTGCCGTGCCTTGCCTTGCCGTGCCTTGCCTTGCCGTGCCTTGCCGTGCCTTGCCTTGCCTTGCCGTGCCTTGCCGTGCCTTGCCTTGCCTTGCCTTGCCTTGCCTTGCCTTGCCTTGCCTTGCCTTGCCGTGCCGTGCCTTGCCTTGCCTTGCCTTGCCTTGCCTTGCCGTGCCGTGCCTTGCCTTGCCGTGCCGTGCTGTGCCGTGCCGTGCCGTGCCGTGCCGTGCCTTGCCTTGCCTTGCCTTGCCTTGCCTTGCCGTGCCTTGCCTTGCCTTGCCTTGCCTTGCCGTGCCTTGCCTTGCCGTGCCGTGCCTTGCCTTGCCTTGCCTTGCTGTGCCTTGCCTTGCCGTGCCGTGCCTTGCCTTGCCTTGCCGTGCCGTGCCTTGCCTTGCCTTGCCTTGCCGTGCCTTGCCTTGCCCGTGCCTTGCCTTGCCCGTGCCTTGCCTTGCCGGGCCTTGCCTTGCCTTGCCTTTCCTTGCCGTGCCGTGCCTTGCCGTGCCTTGCCTTGCCGTGCCTTGCCTTGCCGTGCCTTGCCTTGCCGGGCCGTGCCGTGCCTTGCCGTGCCTTGCCTTGCCTTTGCCTTGCCGTGCCTTGCCTTGCCTTGCCTTGCCTTGCCTTGCCTTGCCTTGCCTTGCCGTGCCGTGCCTTGCCTTGCCTTGCCTTGCCTTGCCGTGCCGTGCCTTGCCTTGCCGTGCCGTGCTGTGCCGTGCCGTGCCGTGCCGTGCCGTGCCGTGCCGTGCCTTGCCTTGCCTTGCCTTGCCTTGCCTTGCCTTGCCGTGCCTTGCCTTGCCGTGCCGTGCCTTGCCTTGCCTTGCCTTGCCTTGCCTTGCCTTGCCTTGCCTTGCCTTGCCTTGCCGTGCCGTGCCTTGCCTTGCCTTGCCTTGCCTTGCCTTGCCGTGCCGTGCCGTGCCTTGCCTTGCCGTGCCGTGCTGTGCCGTGCCGTGCCGTGCCGTGCCGTGCCTTGCCTTGCCTTGCCTTGCCTTGCCTTGCCTTGCCTTGCCTTGCCTTGCCGTGCCTTGCCTTGCCGTGCCGTGCCTTGCCTTGCCGTGCCTTGCCTTGCCGTGCCTTGCCTTGCCTTGCCTTGCCTTGCCTTGCCTTGCCGTGCCTTGCCTTGCCGTGCCGTGCCTTGCCTTGCCGTGCCTTGCCTTGCCGTGCCTTGCCTTGCCTTGCCTTGCCTTGCCTTGCCTTGCCGTGCCTTGCCTTGCCTGCTGATGTTCCTTCTCGCAAGGTTTAAGGTTTAGGATCTGAGTATTTTTCTCCTCCACTCCCACCTCTCTGCCTCTGACAGGTCTGCGTCTCTGGGATGTGCACGTGGGCCTTCCTCGTCTGCCACATTCCGCAGGTAGAAGATCCATCCTCAATATAGAATATCTCTGTATAGTATATGTGAGTGAAAGTACATATGTGTATATATGTATATGCTTATGATGCTTATGTATAGTAATTCTAAGCTTTGTTTCTGTGTACATGTGTTCAGCTGTTTCCACGAGTCAAATCAAATCAAACACACTTCTTTCATACTTAACTGCTCATCTCTCTTTCTTCACTCCCTTCTCTCACCATCTCTCCCTCCCCTTCTACGCAGGGTCTAAACAGTACCTAGTGCAGGGCTCATACGAGTATTACCACTACATGCAAGGCAGGATCGATGACAGCGTGAGTTTTACTTTATTACCCTTCACTGCTCTCAATTTATTTTCCTCACGTGTTTCTCTAGTTGACTCAAAAGGCATGAGTTTGCTTCCCTTACCCTTCACTACTCTCTGCTCGATTTCCACTCTTGTCTTCACCCTTCACTCCTATTTTCCTCATCCTTTTCACCTTTTGGCCCTCCCTCCTTCCCTCCACCTCTCCTTGTCTCCCAACCTCCGCAATTTTTCATATCCACACCTCTCTGCCCCCACTCGTTTCAAATTTCAGTACCTCAACTCTGTCTTCTCATCTTTCCTCTCCCTTCACTTCACCCTTTCCCTCTCCAGTCTTCTTTGCTTCACCTCTGCTTAATCCCTGGCTTTCTGCGTGCTGCCGTACAGGGGTGGGGCTGCGCCTATCGCTCTCTGCAGACCATCGTATCGTGGTTCCGCATTCAGCAATACACATCACTACCCGTGCCAACCCACAGGTAAACCAAGCGTTGAAACTGCTCAAAGCGCACTCAGCAGTACACTTCACTCGCCATGCTGAGCCACACCACAGCACAGGTGCACCGCACGCACACAGCCTGCCAGCTCACAGAAGCATCATGTTTTTAGATGCCTCAATCAAACGTGTAGAGAGGGTGTTTTTGAGACGTCTCTATCGAAAACACCCTCTCTACACGCAGAAGCATCATGTTTTTAGATGCCTCAGTCAAACTGCATTCAGCAGTTCACCTCAATCGCTGTGCCTGCCTGCACGCACAAAGCCTTGATACGTCCATTGGCTCACAAAGCATCTCAACTCTCGACCAATGAATTCAAGGAGCCACGAAAGTGTTATTTCTCCTGTTGAGAGTTCCTCAAGTTCTTGGCACTTTAAGCAGGGGACAACACACAGAGAGTATCACTGTCTTCCTTTGCTAAAAGTATCTTTCTAACTGCCGCTCACATAAGTCTTCAGGGCCAACCATCAGAGCGTGTTTTTTTAGAATTCTCAAAAAACACGGTCTTCAGGGCCAACCATCTCAAATTCCTACCAGTGGATTCAAGGAGCCATGGAAGTATTATTCCCCTCTTCCCTTCCCTTTCCACTCTCTTCCTCCTCTCCCCTTTCTCTCACCCGTCCCATGCCCCCCAGGCGCATTCAGCAGGCGCTGGTGGAGATAGGCGACAAGGACGCGGCGTTTGTGGGGTCCAGCCAGTGGATCGGTGAGATCGAGCTCAGCTTCATCCTGGATCACCCCTTGCGCCTCTTCCCCCATTTTCACCCGCCGTCTCGCGCCTGTTCCCCTTCCCCCCACGCCCCCAGGTGCATTCAGGAGGCGCTGGTGGAAATAGGGGACAAGGACGCGGCGTTTGTGGGGTCGAGCCAGTGGATCGGCGCCATCGAGCTCAGCTTCATTCTCGACCACCTGCTGGGGGTGAGATTGGGGGTGTTGGATTGTGTTGGTGAGCTGCTGGGGGCTGGGTTGTGGGAGTGAGCTGCTGGGGGTTGGGTTGTGGGGGTGAGCTGCTGGGGGAGAGGGACAATAGTGGGAAGTGGGAGAGAGCAGGGCAGTGGATCGGCGCCACTGAGCTCAGCTTCATTCTTGACCACCTGCTGGGGGTGAGTCGGGGAGAGGGGGGAGGGGGGGAGGGGGGGGGAGAGGGCAGAACGTGAGGGGAGGGCAATGCGGGTTGGTGGGAAGTGGGTGAGTTTAGCGCAGAAGATCGGTGTGATAAAGCTGAGCTTCATCCTGGATCACCTGCTCAAGGTGAGTCGGGGTTGGGGGGGACGGGTAGGAGCCAATTGGTGGGATGCCGGTGGGAAGTGGGTGAGCGGATGGCATAGGATCGGTGTGAGAGCTGAGCTTCATCCTGGATCACCTGCTGGGGGTGAGTGGGGGGGTAGAGGGGAGGAGCAGGTCGGAAGAGGGGGAGAGAGGGGGAACAATGGTGGGAAGTGGGTGAGTAGACATGTACTCTTTGGGCCAGCAACTAACCTACCACTCACCACTGAAGTCATACCCCATTCGATGTGAGTAACTTTTTTTGAGATGTCTCAAGAAGTTACTCATATCATGTGACTAGCCTACCACTCACCACCGAAGTCATACCCCATTCTTGCACCCCTCTTTCCTCATCCCCCCTCTCCTCCCCTACCGGCCCCCACCAGGTCACATGTAAAGTCCTCACAGTCTCATCCGGAGCAGATATGCCCTCTAATGGCCGGCAACTAGCCCACCATTTTTCCACGCAAGGCACCCCGGTAATGATAGGAGGCGGGGTTCTCGCATACACTCTATTAGGTGTAGACTATGACGAGGCGACGGGGGAGTGCGCATTTCTGATTCTCGACCCGCATTATACCGGCGGGGAGGATTTGAAGGCGATAAGGAGTGGTGGATGGGTTGCTTGGCGAAAGGCCAAGACGGACGGTGGGGCCGATTTTTTCGTCCGCGATGCTTTTTACAATCTGTTGCTACCACAGCGGCCGGCTACAGTATGAGCTACACTGGATTCTCTCTATAATGGCTACTTTATAGTACAGAGGTATAACATTCGTTTTAAGAGCCTTTAGAAGAGCAACGGCTTCTTTAAATGCAATGCACTGTATGTGCTTATGATGGAAGCATTTGGAAATCTGTGAATTCATGCATACACATGACTGCATTGAGAACCCGCGGGCCAAGAACTTCAACCTTAGGAAGCTTGGTTGGAGCGAGCAACACAATTGGCCAAGGTTTTGGGTGCGAGGGCCAAACTCAACCTATTATATACACACGGGTGACGTCATCACATGCCGCCCCGCCCGCCCTGGCACAAAGGGAATTGAGGCAAAACTAAAAACCCTCCGAATCCCTCCGGGCCCCCGGAAATTCCCGGCTGACCAGGCCAAAAAACCCTCAGAAACCCGCGGGTTCAATGTCGTATTCTTATGCCAATATATATGTCAGCCGCACTGTTGCAATTTCGGGGACATTTGTCGAACAGTGCTCGACGGACATTGGCCAATCGCCGTCGAGCACCGTGCACCCCCGACAACACTGGTTACACCCGGTGGCAAGTCGCCAAGGCATCGCCTACACGGTGGCGCTAACGGTCGACGGTTGCGAAACCTGTTTCGCAACCGGCCGACGGTCGCAATCGACGGAGACGTCAACTGCGGCCGACCTGTCGCCTCGTCGGTCGAGACAGACACCACGGCCGATCACTCCTTGTTCATGCTTGGCGAGGGGGAGCAGAGGAGCTTCATGGTGGTTTATGTGGATGACATTCTCATATTCTCACCCTCCTCTGACCTTGTGAATTAGGTGATGCTGAAGCTGCATGACAAGTTCAAGTGCAAGTCCCTTGGTGACGTAAACTTCTACCTTAGGCTCCACATCGAACGAGACGTGGAGAAGCGGAGCATGCGAGTGCACCAACGGAAGTACCTGGAGGCGTTGGCTGCCAACTTCGGCCAGAGTGAAGGTCATGTGGCTACTCCCTTTCCCTCTGGGTTCAAGTGTGTGAAGGGGCCAGAGGAGGAGAGCGTTGGAGAAGAGGAGAGGCGCCGGTTTCACTCGTTGGTGGGCAGCCTCATGTATGCGGCGGTAAACACCCGACCGGACGTCGCGTTTGCTACCGGGCAGCTGGCTAGGGTTGTGCAATGCCCTAATGAGGAGCAGGTAGCAGCTGGAATGAGGGTGGCCAAGTATCTTGGCCAAACACCGACCGTTGGGCTGCAATACTCGGCGGCGGCACAAAGGCGCCAAAAGGGCGCGGATGGTGTTGAACCCGGGCGTTTGTACCTCACCGCCTACTCGGATGCTTCATATGCATCAGAACCAGAGGACATGACAAGTGTGGGAGGCTTCATATGCTGTGTTGGTGGAGGCCCAACTGCTTGGGAGAGTAAGAAGCAGGTTGACCAAGCTTTGAGCTCGGTGGAGTCCGAGTACATGGCACTCTTCCATGCCGTACGGGAGATTGTGTGGCAGCGGCGTTTGTTGGCTGAATTGGGGGAGGAGCAGCAAGGACCTACCCCACTGTATTGTGACAGCCAGGGTGCAATTGCTCTTGCTAAGAACCCTGTGTTGCATGGACTCACGAAGCACATGAGGGTGAAGTGGCATTGGACGAGGAGCATGGTGGCCGCGGGTGAAGTTGAGTTGCGCTACGTGAAGACCACGGGGCAGCCGGCTGATATGATGACCAAGAGGCTGGTGAAGCAGCAGCATTGAAAGTGTTGCAAGCTGTCTGGGATGGCTCTGAACTGAGAGAGCAACATATCCTAAGGCCAACAATCCGAGGGGGAGTTTGTTGGTGCAACCCTATGGTTTGCACTCGGCTTGTTGTCCGTGTGCGTGAATGTGTGTGTGCATGGAATGGTATGAGGGCATGGGATAATATATATTTCATGCTTATAATTGTGTGTGAATGTTGAGTCATGATGTCGAGTGTGTGTGTTGAGTCAATAGCGAGTTATCGCTAGACGCGTGTTACGCGGTCGTTTGTGTCTCGCGCGCGGTTTCTATTTTGTCGTGCGCGGTTTCTATTTTGTCCTGTGTCGAACGTTCGGTGTGTCGAAGGTGTCTGCAGCAGACCCATCAAGAACTCAAGGATGAGTTTGTGATGAAGAGCCCGAGCCTTGGTGTCAAGCCTCAAGTGATTTCGAAGCTCGTCAAAAGGGTACACCTCAAGATATTGAAGATAGTTACATTACTTTGTGTAGTGTAACATTTCACTTGGTGTAGGCCCTAGTGAAGGGTAGTTTCGAGACCCTTCGTGGTTGGGGACAGTGTGGCATTGTTCCACATCACTGTACCTCGGCTCTTGGGGTTTGTAGGAGCTGGGAGTCATTCCCAACTCGTAACTCTTCCTATCTTGTGTTCTAAGACTATAGTGGCTGCCATAGTGCCGTTCGTTCAAACCAACGCTGTGTCGTCAATGCTTGGTCAAATCGTGCGATCTAAATTGCCTGTTGTAGGCGACAATACGACGCTCCATATCCAAGTTGAATCAAGTCATTTGAAGCTGTGACCAGAACGCTATGAACGTTTGAAGCCGCTATGCAGAAATCCGACTGTGCACTCTATCTTTCGTTCTAGGCACATTGGAGCGTACTGTGACTATAACAGCACCCTCCATTCGGGTGCTCCCCCTGCCACCAGAGCTCTCATGCCCCTCGTTGTAGTCACCTCGGCCTCTTCCTCTGCCAAAGCCTCTCCCACGGCCTCGGCCTCTCCCTCCCCCTCTCCTCCTGCTGCCTCCTGCAGCTCCATACCCCTCAGCAGTTTTGTTGGCAGCACCACCTCCCGTGTGGCGCCTGCGGAAGTCCTCTTGCAGGATCTGCTGTCGTAGCCACTCAGGCGTCCACTTGTCCTGCTGAGCGTTGAGGGTGGGGATAAGGTTGTCCCACGAGTTGTCAAGCACCGAGATGATTTTGGTGCACTGCTGCATTTCCGACACCTCGCTGCCCGCCGCTGCCATCCTCGCATAGGTGTCCTTGATCTTGTCAAGGGCCAGCTTCAAATCATCTCTCGGCCGCATGGAGAGGGCAGCCAGCTCCTTCTCCAATACGATCACCATCGGCAGCGTGTTGGGTTGAACCACGTCGCGTAGCAGCTTCCACGCCTTCGGTCCGAATCATCCAACTCCACCAAATCCTTGATGTGCTGGAACATGTCGTTGTTGACCGATTGAAGGATGAGGTCGTACAGCACCGCGCTCTTCTCAATCCACCGATCGCGGGCATCTCCTTCCCCCGGCATCTTCTCCTCTCCCATTGCAATTTTAAGCAGCTTGTAGCGCTTGAAGGCGCTCCGCATCCGCCCGCTCCATTCCTCGTAGTTGGAGCCATCCAAAGCTTCGATCTTGGATGGTGGCGGTTCACTCCTCTTCTCAGCTGCATCTCCACTCCCTTGATTCATCTCCTCTGCTCCCAATCAGAGGTTTAAGCTCCCTCTTTTGCTGGTCACAATATAGATCCACACAATCTTCACAAGTGTCGGCGCCAACGAAATTTCGGCAGTGTTTCCCCTTAGCGGAAGTCACATCCAACCTCCAGAATTCCACTTAGGCACGCCCACAGGCCATGGTGGGTCTAGGAGGGTCTTCACACTTCAGTAGACTCTCCACAAAGTCCTTAATCAGCTCTGATACCACTTGTTACAGACTAAGGACGGAGTCTATGAAGATTAGGTACTCAAATTTATCAAAATCGTTGGTCTCAATTTCTGGACAGAAACGTCGACTTCACAAGAAACGTTGTCGATGAAACGTGCACCGTTAGAATCTCACAAAATTCGACTATGTTGTAGCCCTAGACCATGGCTACATTTCCCAATTTAAATCGTAAAAATAAATGAAGAATATCTCGATTTATGCTTTTTGGCGCACTAGGGAGTATGCTGCCACAGAAATTTAACTCAATCACAAATAACTCACAAGTCCCACAAAAGAACATTAGAGTAGCACTAAACCTGGTAGGAGGGGAAAAGGAGGACGAGAGGGAAGGTCCCAAGAGAGAGTCCCCAACCAAGGAAACCCCATGCCACACAATTCCCTTCCCCATAGGCAACAAACTTTGACCTTTGTCACTTTCCAACCCATGCCATCCACCTCACCACAACTTGGCCACACTTACCAACCTGGTTTGGCTTCACCCAACCTCTTGGCAGCATCTACAGTGATGGGTTCGAATTTCTCAACCCCCACAAGTCTGTACCCCATATTGAGTCAATGCCACAACTTCCCAAAGTAGCTGCAACCAAAATATATAAGCATACGAACTCCAATGTTCGTAAATTTCTTGGTTGTGCTCCGATCGCGACGAATCTTGGTTCGTCGGAAAGCTCTTGAGTAGAGGAATCACTTCAGATATCTGCTCAAGCCAAATAACATACACTCACTCTGAAAAACCAAACCACATCAAACACAAATTCTTGCACACGCTCACACCACGCATGCAATGCACAAACACATGATGGGAGGCAGTCAGATGTGAATGCATATGGTTGCATCACACAACACCGTCCTGGAGCGCACTACCCGCCACCAAGTTCGTAGAGAACGAGGGGAGGTAGAGACCTGACAGTGTGCCCGACGGGACCGCAGGACAGGGGAGGACAGTGGAGGAGGTCGCAAGGACCGGACCCCCAGAGGGGTCAGCGAGGGAGACTGCAACTGGTCGAGCAAGCTGCTCGAGGGCCGTGCGGTCACGAAAGAAACAGCGGGAAGCACCTGAGTCCAGTGTGAAGGTGTGCAGTGCCTTAGACGGCTCAGTACCAGGGGGCGCAGACTCACTAGCAGCTAGAGCGGTAGCCTCACCAGCACCTGGGGTAGCAGACACTCTAGCACCTAGAGCGGCAGCCTCACTGGTCCGAATGCCCGGATCGGGCGGAACACGCAGGTACTGAGCACCCTCTCCACTAATAAACATCACATACATGGCATTGAGAATAGCATCAAAATCTAGTGCAAAGATATCAATGTTTTTCTTCATCAGATCAGCCCAGCGGGGCA